GCAGTTCCAAGGCTCGAGCAGCTATACAGGATTGAAACACCTTTGGTGCAGACGCAATGTTTCGTTGAAATTGAAAGGTCGCGTATACTGCGCTAGTGTGCGGTCAGTTCTGCTCTAAGGTTTGGAGACCCTAAATTTGCGTGTGGAAGATATTCGTCGTGTTGAATTATTCGACTGCATGTTTACGTAGTTTGGCTCGGGTTGGATAGAGCGAGCTTGTAAGCAACTCTGAGGTAATTCGTCGCGTATTTGGTAATGATTCGATGGAGAATTCTTTGTCCCATCGAATTCAGATTAGTCGGCTTCGCTGGTTAGGACACGTATTGCGTATGTCCAGCCATCGTCTGCCGCACTGCGCCTTATTCGCAGTTACGGCTCCAAGTTGGAAGAAACCGCGTGGTGGTCAACAGATGACGTGGAAGCGATGCATGAAGAAATGCACAGAACAATTAGGTAGAATCGGTGTTTTCCGTCTTCCAGGTTTGGGTCCGAAAGACTCTTCAACTGGTTGGCTGGAGACATTAAAGGATATGGCGACTGACCGACAGCAATGGCGCTCTTGTTGTCATTTCTTAACAAGGCAGAATGCTTAAAAAAAGTATGCATGAACAATTAGATTGTGTACTCAGTGTGTTGAACTGAGGTTCTTTTTCTTTGCCTCCCTCCAAGTAGGCCCAATCCTTCCCCATCTTATGCTTTATCATTTGATTTGTGTACATTGTGAGCTTGGCAGCGATCAGTGAAGCTCGCTTCACTGTATCTCGCTGTACGATGATGATGATGACGTGCTTTGGACCCTGTGGTCCGAGTTTCGAGTCCCGCCACCCGACTTTGGTGATAGGTAACTTTGCTTCCGTCCGGTTCAATGCCACGCCTCACCTATCGGCCCCGATCTTTGGTTCCAGGTTTTCGTGACGTAGCAGGAGGTCTTCGTGACTATGGAGTTCGCCCCGTCTGCTGTTCACTACACAAATGTTTGCATTAAATATCGTATTTGTCAACCGAACGGGAAAGTTCAGCGACCGATGTGCGGATCTACCGTCTGATAGGTCACACGTGTTAATACACGTACCCACCGCTTCATTCGCACACCATCAACCTTCGTGATCACAATGACATCCTGGATAGCTGACCACAACTGTTTTGTGCGGTTCGAGTTGGTTTGATCTAATTTAGAAGTTGGCAAGTCATGTTCGTAAACAGAATAAATCATTGTCCGTAACTCTCTCATAGATAATATTGGTACGAGAAGAAAACATACCAGGAGCATTCACTATGCACAGGATGTATTCTCCCATCTCATCATTGGATCCCTGCTCCGAGAATCCTTAAAGACGCGTTACTACTCAACTCCACTGATTCATCCATCAAGAATATCCAACCGTTTTTAATTTCTGCTGTCTCCTAGCAGTCGGTCGGGGTAAATATTCATTAAGCACATCCCCTTATTCAGATGGGTTGTATCCGGTTCGAAATACGTGGTTGCAAGTTAGCCACAATCACCCTCCTATATCTTCTGATTGGAAAACCTCGCGCACCCGATTCGAGGAGAAAATGTAGTGAATGATAATATAATTTCAACGAAATCCCCTAACAGCCATTCAATTCATGCTCGGTTTGACTTGAGTGTAAATGTTCGTTGGGACGATTTATCTCTCAAGCATCTACGGCACCGAATTCGAGCATTTTTCCATGGGATGTCGGAATGACTGAGACCTATTTAGTCTGTGAACACGATGTGATACCAACAACGTATTACAATCAGTAACATAATGAGCGTCATTCCAACCAAATTAGGTCAAGGGATCCGGTGTATTCTTCATCCGCCATCTACATATTGCCTACAGTTGAATAAACCCGATACAGGCGTCTCCAGCGACAATAGTTTTCATATTGGGGATACCAAAATCTCACCCCAGAGATTTCCGGTCTTTCTTCTCACACGATTCAGTTAAATTAAAATGTGTACCACGATTTCATGGCACAACTGAGATGACAAAGGTCAGCAAACCGCAAATCTCCAAGGTTGCATACATTGAGAATAAATCTATGCGAAAGCTAGATGACGTCTCTTACTGTGCAATACAACTGAGAATGAACCGTAGAAATTTCGTGCGGGATCTTTCGGTGGTGTGTAGTCGTACTTCAAGTTTCGATCTAGAACGTTCTAGAAAAACGTGGGGGATAAGGTACAAATTGATATTTTCTTCTGACGGTTTAACGCCTACTCTGCAATGAACTTCCCGAATACAGGTAACTTCGAGACAACACAGTTAACAAACTGAAGAATGAAGCCGAAAATGAAAAAAAAATCGATTGATTATTATGATATAAAAGAATACATGTGCGCATGAGTAAAACAACGCTTGACTGCATGTGATGTGATTGGGTGATTGGATGGGAAGGGAAAAGAGAAATAAAAGCACAGAGATGATGAAAGTTCACTGAACGGGGTATGTGGATTCCATTGGGATGTACCTAGGCGCGTGGATTGAACGGATATGCGTACAATTTGATTCAGCTCATACGGCTTGACGATGCGACTCGTGATTGGACGTGTCTCTGGAACCGAGTGAGATGTCGAGCACCGATTTCTGCAGGATATCCCGGATCACATGTGTCTGTGGCTCGGTCTCGGGGCTCTTCGTGCGCGCAAGTAGTTGTGAGGCCAATACAGTCGAGCTATTCGTGTGGTTAGTACGTTTGTGATTCTCCAACGAGCGTGATTGACAAAATCCTCGATTGCAGGTGCTACACACAAACGGCTTCGAAGTCAAATGTGTGTAACTAAAATAAGGCGAAAAGGGAACGTGGAATATTATGTTACCAAATCGAAATATCATTGTGTTGGCTATGTATGAAATGATTGAATGCAATACGCAATTGCAAGTGATAGCGTGCGGTTGATCAATACTAATGCGAAACATTCAAGAACAAGTTTGTCATCTCAACGATCCGTTTTTTCTTGTAAAGCGCTTTGGACACCAGGATGCTATACCATAAGGCCAATTATTCTATCAAGAAAAAAACGTTCTTCCGTTCGTTTGAATCCATCTGTATACACAGTGAAAATGAGCACATGTCGTTTATCGTTGTGTATGCCTTCAAAGCAATGCAGACGGGGCAAACTCATGTTCCAACAGAATAACATGATTTAACTTTTTTAGGTAGTGTAAGTCAGCTGCGTAAGTACATCGGCAACGGAAGCTAAGTAACAATTTCATTCTTGCCTTTTGTGTCACCAATCATTTCCCATTTTCTCTACTATTATCTTCATGGGACCTGTTGTCATTCTTTCACAAAGCATTTCCAGATATGGAGCTGTTTTTTTTTCTTGCATCGATAGTTGACTTCATTATTCATCAGTAGCTTGTAACCACGGACGCAACTCCATAGTTAGATATATCTTTCTATGACTAGAAGGGTTTTTCTCTTATGCTATTGCCATATTTTTTGATAAACTTGAAGGGGTGCCCATTGTAGAGAAGAGTACAGTGGAATGATTGGAGACTATCATTCATCTTTTTTCTTGAACAAGGCCGGTTAGTTCGTGACAATGGAGTATGGTCAGGAGTTCTCTCCTGGTTTACATAGCGGTAGCTTCAAAACGCAGACGCTGACCTGTCCACTTTGGCTGCCAGAACACAGAGAGTATCTTTGCTCGATCTAAAAGTTACCTTCCGTTCCATCCTCTGTTGTCCATTCAATAACCTTGTGGCAACCGTTCATACATTTTAAGAAGTTGCTTGCTTCATCCAATGTCATCAAGACCGTGAAATGATAAATGATTTTTTTGTTGATTCACGATGTGTAATGGACGCAAAGGGCCTTATAAAGATGCCCGAAATTACCTATTCAGCGGTTTATTGCCACAATATCTATTGGTTTTTATAAATTCCCTCTGAATGAAAGTTATATGCTTTTTACCAACAATAAAAAACCGAATTTAGATTGTCTGTTTGAGAATCCACTTTATGAGAAGGTTAGCATAAAATATCCACGTTCTTTATTGTAACGTTTATGAACACGGAGCAGACGTGTAGAACACTATGCGATAATTTGGTTTTGATTATTTGGCTAAATTAAAAAACCTTTCAAACTGCAAGCTGTCAGTTCATCCTGAATTATTTTGATTTGATTTGATTAATAGTGGAATGATGAAGCTGTTGGGAGCAATCGAAGAAAAAAGGTAGAACTCGTTATCCCGCTTATATTTGGTTTTTGTTCGATGTTTTAATGAGTACGAAAATGGATTTACAAAAATTCAGAAGTACTCTTACTTTGTGCTTTATGACAGTCATCTTCAATAATACTCTCCTTCATTCGTAAACTCGTACGGGTACTCATATCTTGTAAGTTAAGCAAGCGTCTGCGAATCTATCAACGATAATGGCCTACGTCGTTGAGGTCCATTTCCCAATCGCTTCTGAGTAGTGATTATAAATATGATGTTCTACTACTCATGAGTAAGCGCGGCGTGGATTGGAATATTTAGCCAAATGGCAAGCTCACCTGTGGTCACGCAAATGGTCTTTCCGTCGGAAACGCCGAGAGCACACGTTGCAGCCGAATGGCCGCTCGTCCGTATGTGTTCTTTCATGTATGGTACGATTATAAGCTTTGCTGAAACCGCGACCACAATGTGAGCATTTGTAAATTGCGCGTTGCCCACTTCCAGGCGTGTGACTTGTGCGATCTACCAACTTGGTTGTGCCCATTGCACGCGGTGTACTGTGTCGTACGTCATTCACGTTGGATGTTCGACTCTCCCAATGAGTTTCATACGGAGTTATCGAGGAGAAACTACGGGCAGGAAATGGAAACATGTTACTATTATTATCTTTACTCTTACGTAATAAATGGAAATGAGGTAGCTTATCAGCAGTTAAATGTGAAACGTTGAACAGAGTGAAGGGGTAGATGTGAGGGGTATGAGATCAATGCACAACTAGGCTGCAAGATAATCTACTTATAACAGACAATTCACTTAGTGGTTTAATTTTGCGGGTGCTGCAATGTTGGTATTGGCTGTTTCAATCAATGAACACGGGGATACGGAACTAATTGCTCGAGATAACTTTGGCTTTTGTGCTGAAATGTTGATCAAACTAAGCAGTGCACATTGAAAAAGGCAGAAATTATTTACAATTCAGTCTTCTGATATAGTTTGCTGCTCATTATTTAAGTTGTTTTCTCCAAGAGCCATACTGTTATGTTTCCTATACCAGTGAGACAGATTTCGAAAACTCGACAAAGATTTCAGAAGATACAATACGGCCAGTATTTTAATGCATGATAAACTTTCTTAGACTATAATCTGATAAGGTTAAACTAGAGCCGGGCAACTGCAAATGAGTAATTAGCCTCCTGGTGGTTATATCTTAGACGAAGTTGCGTCACTCCTGAAGAATCTTGATAAGTTCTCATTAATTAGCATCTTTCGAAGAGACGATTAACGTGAATTTTACCACTAAAACTCCAACCTATTCTCATACTCTGGTATGCGGTAGAAAAAAGCAACAAGGGAGTGTAGAGAATGTAGAAAAAGAACACTAGTTGTCGAGCGCTCTTGACCAAGCATGATTTTTCGAGTTCACTGAGGAAACTGAATAGTTTAGATGCTGGAATTCGAAATTGATATCAATGCCTTGTTTTTGCTTGTATGCCAATGTAGGTTCTGTTATCACCAAAAGCACCGAGAATAATTCTTCAGGTCTCCTGTATCTGAATTTCGAGCAAGAGAGGAATCTCATGTTGTGTCTGAACTCGCACGTCTTGTCACTTTGAAAACTTTGAGGATCTGATTGAGAAACAAGCGGCCGATAACTTTGCCCGGTACAAACGTTGTGTTGACTATAGTTCAGTTTTTCCGGGTGGAATACTTTATATGTCGTTTTATAACTACCCCAGTCCCATGAAACAGAACGCAAACACTGTTCTCTCCATACGTATGAACATCTGAATGAATCAGTGAAATTCGGTATTCACCGAATAACAAAAGTGACTGATCTTAATCGCACAAAGTGTGTGCACAGAAGACCGGTTGCCAAAAGAAGAAAAGTTTACTTTTAAAACTTCCTCACCAGCGATTACCCAAAGAACCTTGAAGAGTGACACGATAGGTTAAAGAGTCTCACAAGATCAATACACACTGTCCACAAGAAGTAGCGTTAAGGTGACTAATTATTAGGACGAGCAGGTTCCTTTTTGGAATCTACTTTCCCTGGCACATCTACATGTCTATGCAATGGCGGTCATCATCAATGAACACAGATGTGAGTCTTCATCACTGCCCGAAATGAAACCCATAAGTGTAACAGAATGTTTCGTTCTGTTGCTTTATTACAACTGAAATATAGGTTGTTGCTCAGACTCCCAGTTTGACTGCTGCTATAGAGAAACGAAGTCGGTTATATATACACATATGTATTATTCGTTTCGGGAATGGGCAATGTGTGCTTTATGACGGGTACCAATAAACGGTTAGAGGTTCAGAAAACGTACAGCGATGCAGTGTCTGCACTCACCTCTTTCTTCCTCCTCGAGCTGAGTCACTGCTCTTTGAACATTCAGTCGCCTTCGGAGGTTCTTCAGGCAAAGAGGACCAATCGTAACACATTCGTTCTGCCTTCGTAGCCAAATTCAAGGGACTGGATTGGGTGGGGAGATTACTGGTAACATCGTTCAGGCCTGCAATCAGGGTTGGTGAACTGGCAGCCCAGGAAACTGGATTAGGCAGGTCGAACGATCTGGGTTCAGTGGTCAGGAGTCTGGGATCACAGGTGCTAGGACCATCGAGCAGTGATGTGTGCGTTGAGATTGGGGACGCACTCAGCTGGGCCAGGAGATGACGCCAGAATCGTAGATAGAGGAAGGCATTTTGAAAACTTAGGGAAACTGCTTTGAAATCAAGCGCGAGGTTCGATTGGTGGAGAATGAGAAAGATTACGATTTGGTTTGGTTATTGATTACATAAGTGTCATCCAGAACGCGAAAACCATATCAGAGCATATATATAACTTATAAAACGAGCTATCTTTCACTGTGGAGAAAAAAACAAGTCACACACTTTATGACAAATCTATATTGGCTCAGTATATAAGGTTAACTTTTAACTTAATAGATGAAAACAGCCCATAAATTTCCAATGGGAATATTCATGAACACGTGGTCTTCCAAAAAGGATAAGGTCCTAAATTCGGTCATACAATTGTGCATTGAAGCTAAAGGACTGCGTGAGGTGGCTAAATAATTGCTGGTTTGTTCGAAGCTGAATGGGCAAAGGTGTAGAACGATTTTCAGGTACATATGAGCCTGAAACGAAACAAGAATAAGTAGCGATTTGGTTTGGGTTAATGGACCCATGTGGAAAAAACCTGAAAGAATCACTGTCTGAAGTGAGGGGCTTCATAATTTATGACACACACACACATTAGAATCAATTACTGTGGTTAAATGCATACAATTAGCACATAAACAACACACCGATTGTTAAAACCGCAGGTAGCTTTTACATTTACTTGCTTTCACTCTATCCACCAAAAATGGCTTCCCTTGTTCAGATTATTCATTTTTGGTGGACGCCAAAATATTTTCTGTGTCAGCTTGAACTTCGCATGCAATGATTGAAATTGTTAGATATAACGTGACTAACAGGAATATTGTACGCAGTGGCATGGGTGAGGCGGGAAAAGATGACTTGATGTTTTCACATGCCATGTATCGTGTACACAAATGATATTGGTTTGGGATCGACTATAAATATTTTCGATAAGGTTATAAAAAATAACGAACCAGTAAACAATCAGGGACGATACATCCCGATATCGAAGTGAGATAGGTTTCTTTCAGTGCTCTATTTCAACACGACACAAGATGCTGCATATTGTACATGGTCCAGTTTAGTTGCATCTCAGATCCAACTATAACATTCAACAAGTACATAGAGTTAATGAAATCGCGTCAATAAAAACGTAACTGAAGGCCACTCGTCCCACATGAAAGTTATTTGTTTGGAGCTGAAAACAATAATGCGCATACAAAGTACCGTATCACAGTATTGGATTTGCTTCAGGGCCGCGAGCATTCATCTGTGTCAGGGTGGTGGGCGGGCTAACTGAGGTTGGGAGGGTGACGTTTTGTAGGTGGAATGATTTTCACTCCGTGCGAGATTACGGACCACGCATATATCTATGTGGGTGCACGAGGCGGGTTTGAGGGGGGGGGGGGGGGGNNCTCTGTCTCTCGTGCCCAGATTACTGTCTTTATAACACCCTCTTGTTGCTCATTCTTCGAAATCTGAGGGGAGCAAGAGCAGCGAGAGAATGAAACTTAATTAGTATTCACGCGGTTTGCTTCTTGGTCGTGTGTCAGAACTTTCTGAGAATGAATGCCTAACAAACAGTTTAGCAACAAATACAAACTGGATATGCTATAGAAACCGTGATGCTGATATACACCAAGGCTAGGCCACAAGCTTGTTCAATCTTTGTTGAAAGTGCAGGACGAGCAGAGTAGAACGAAATGGCATATTGGGGACATGAATAGGATGGGAGCATCAGTCAACACCGCACACACGCACACAACCTACCTGGTGGAGGGATTGATGTCAATAAAAGTGGCCACCAGGGGGACAGATTGGATAACCCAGATTCGGAGACAGGAGAAATCTCGGGATTGGTAACCGCGCTCTCAATCGGAACATGTTCTAAACCGACAGAATCACTTAAATCCGACGGGCTGGGAGGGGAACAGGCCTGGTCCGTTCTACCGGTTTCCGAATTGGTCGGGCATGTATTGGTGGCGGACTCTTGCTTGACTCCGGGACTCAGATCAGCTGGGTTGACCAGGTTAGACCAATGACATTCACCCAGCCCACTGAGACTGGACAAGTTGGATGGATTGGTAGAATTGTAGAGCGAACGATCCGGAGTTTCGCATGTTTTTTGTGAGTTTCTGTTTTGGGAATGAAAAAAATAGTGAATAACCTTCGAAAACATAAATAACTTTACATTCTAACAAATATAAATTAAATTGTGCGTTTGATGAAAAAGGTAGAGGTAAATATTGTTTTAGCTCTGAGAATTTCACCAGTTACCGGATAAAAATTGAATATTGGGTTAAGAAGTGATAATTAACCTCTAAAGCAATGTCCTGTTGTATAAAGTGCCATTCGTTTGTGATGCTGGCAGATAAATAGTGACAAACTTGAGGAAACAATGAGAATGAGGTCTTGAACCATATAAGGTGACCTGATACCCTTTCCGAAGTGAAATAAACACGGAACAAAGAAGGAATTTGCTGAGAAGCCTAGAAACAACAGCAGTGGTGATCGGATTTGAGCTGTTTCTGATCAATTGATAGAGAACACTCCGGGGGCGAGCGGTGCAGGCTTAGAGTTGCTCACAGTAAGCTTGCAATGATGGACTACACTATGTTGTATGTTGTTGTTTTATAAGGTTCACAAAGAACTGCTGCTTTAAATTACTTGGGTCCTATGAATAGTGAAGAACGAGAAGCGAGAGTAAATAGCGAATAAACCCCGCTGGATATTAGGTTATCATCTCCTATGATGACCAAGCGTTGCCCAGTGGCAGTGGTTTCTTCCCCTTGCCAGATGGTGGCTTTGTTTATCGATTGCTCTCTATTATCAACATCATTCGAGGCTCAAAAGCAGTACTGAAATACGGTATCCGGTAATGTCGAAAGACGACTCTTGATTCCGAATGGATTGACTTTGGACGGTTTGTCCATTAGTGGGGTTGAGGTTAGCTGTCTTGTGTTCGATCATCGTGAGTTAGATTCCTGGGCTTCTTTGTCTAAGATCCGGAGGACCTCGGATATGGTAAGTAACGCTGGTCGGTGTAGTCGGTCGGTCCACGACACGAAAAAACGTAGACACCTTCTGTGCCGGGAAAACAGAATACGCCAACAAATTACTTTCCAGTTGGGGGGTTGCATGATAATTCCTGTTTGTGATTGGTGATCCGGAGTAACGGTGGCATTTAAGATTTACCCCCTTGAATCAAATCATTTTCCGAACTTTCAATAAGCAAGCTCATGTGTTTTACCACTGTAGATTTGTTTTGCCAATGGAATTTTTTCATTGAGGAACAGCAATTTAAAACTCAATATTCTATTCTTAGAGGAAAAAGATACAAAAGTGAAACCAACAAAATCAAAATGTGCAGTCTTCGCGGTCTGTGAACTGGCACCAGCAATACAAGAAGAGATAAAACACATCATAAAACACGAATACAGTTTGGAGATATTGTTGCCCGTTGTTATTCGCCCTTTAATTGTGGCTTTTACCACCTCCATTGATGGCTTTCTAGCCTTAGCACATATTAAGTAATTGGTGAGCGTAGATTCAGGTTCCAACAGCCGGGCTGTACTTTTACTCGGCATGGAAAGTTGTCTTTTAGAGACAAAGAACTGCAGAGAAATGTTTCAAAGACCACATATCCGAACAAGCCTCAGTTNTTTTTAAATAGAGTTACTGAGCCTGCGTCTGCGAGAGTGTGCATGTGTGAGGAGCATGAGCAAACTTCAGCGCTGGAATTATTGCCGCAGCCTATCCCCTCATTTGAAGTACTCACGGCTTGGCAACGGTTCGATTCTATCCGCGGCAAGGCAAGATCCGATTCACTTTTGATTGGACCTGTTATGCGTTCGGAAGGATTGATGAGGCAGTGAATCTCAGGTACCTGTTTGCACTTAAGGGACAGGGTAATTGGCTTACACTACGATTTGAAGTAATCTGCCATAGTTAGCTGTTGGTCGGATCACGTGTAATGACGGTACATCGTTTCTCGTGAGTTCTGATTAGGTCGGTATATGGTTTGTCTCGATAACAAAATGCTTACCATAATGAAAGCATTTTCACAAAAATGACTTAGTACCACACGTATTCCTCAATCTCAGTGACTGGAGGTGTTCAGCGGTAGTCGGGGAGGGGGTTGTTCACAGGGACACTAAAGACACAACAGCTTTTCCACATCGATTTGTTGACATTTTTTGTTGAGTTGTCCTAACAACCACCTGGGTGTTCCATCAAAACTTCGCTGAAATCCATCACGCGCTTCATCTTCTGCAGACTCAAATCTCTTTCTGGGATGAACTGTCCATCTGGACCACTATGTTTTGTATCATCCGATCTATCCCCGCAAAGGTTAGCAACCAAATCTCATAACTTTTCCTCAGGTCATGCGGTTATACACATTCAGGTTTCGATGAAATCCTATTTCTCACTGAGTCAACGTGTCTCTTACCACCGATTAACCTTTAAAGTATTGTAAAAGTGTGGATATAAATTAGCAAATAAGCCCCTTTTCAGTGCCACTTGATCATGCCATTACAACGCAGTGTATATATGACAGATACTGTAAAAAATGCTACATCCGATTTTGTTAATGAACNAACATATTCACTGAATTTACACGTGCTCCATATGTCAGTACTACAATATGCCGTAATGCACCGATGATGCTACTGAGCTTTACTGTGGAGTGACCGATGAATTATTTGATGCACGCCAGTGAACAGCACCTTTAACTTTTTTACTTTTGCTTTACCGCGACTGGCTCCTTGGAAAAGATAATCCGGTTCCATACATGATCATGATCAAGATTATGGAGTTCCTTGGAATTTCGGCATGACAGACGTCCCCAGCCTGATTCGGCGTTTTTTATTTTAAGGACGCATCTCTAGCCTTCGCACAACCAAGTGCCAACTGCAAGGTAGCAGGAA